TTTTTTTTTTTTTTTTTTCGAGGCTAACGAGAATCTCAATGTAAATGGCACGGGAGAAAAGACGAGGGAAAGTTAGCGGACAACTTGCTAAATAGAAAGTTGCCATTTACCCGCGGGAGGAGACTTTAGCATGTTAAAAATAAATCCGCGCGATATACGCGTCCATTTGTTTCAATAAACTTCTTGCTGTCGTTGTCAGAAAATAGAAGAATATTCCGTTTGAACTTGAACTTTTGCTTCGTTACGAGTCGAATTAATTTGCCATTTTTAATGAACCGTGCAAAAATATCTGAAATATTCATCTTGTTGCAATATTTCTTTACCGCTACTTTATGAGTGTTTTATTTTTTAGAATTGTGTTTCACTGGAACTCTTGTCTCGTTAGGAAAGCATCGATCATAATTCATTTGTCATTTTGAACGAATCGTGCAATTATATTACAATTTAGAATAAAAAGTGTAAGTATTCCAACGTTCGGCATATTGTCGAACACTCGAGACACAACTTTTGACAAAAGTTTCACTTCATCTTTTACCTAGACAATATTTATTTTTAATATCCCTATGTTTAAAGTAATTTCGCTAGATACCTGCGTTGATTATGACAGAGTAACGCGTACATCGCGTTCCAGATGATTTCATTGGCCGCACCTCGCACACAGTGAAGTCGATTTGCAATTTTCCCTAATCACGTCGTAATTCGCGAGCGACGTTTTTATTAAACCGATCAACCGCGTAGCAAGAACCCGAGAAAATTACGCGGAGTTGATTTTCATTTACGAGCGACGAGGATATCGACCAAACGCAAAAGTGGTATCATTTACGAGAAAACATTTTTACTGCCTACTCAACGTGCACTTCACTTAAACGTGTAGATATACTTTGGAAAGTTTCCATTTTTGCACCGCGAACTTTGACAGGAAGGAAGTAACGAAAATAAAGTAATTAATCAAGAATTACGTTCAGAGATTATTTTACGTGAATATACGTTTTATACAAAATTTTTTGCAAAATTTTTCATTTTTTCTCTCACGTACAAGAAAGTTAAGAAGGTCGAAAGGTACGAATGTAACGAAAATAATAAAAGAAAGAACAAGAATAAAATAGCAAACTTTTTGATGTTCCTTTATCATTTCGACACTTGAGAAT